CCCGGCCCGGCGCTCGTCTGTTGCCGAGGCCGCAGGGCAGCGCGGGCTGCTGTCTCCCCGGCTTGACCCCCGCGCCCCGCCCGGCTTGGCACGTGCGTGGCGGGCACCGGCGCCCAGCCTGGGGGTGGGTTGCTCAGTGTAGCCATGTGGGCAGGGGTGGCGCGGAAGAAATGGCCGGTGCTTCCCTAGTGCCGCTCAACCTTGATGCGCCCAGCTCTACTCTGCAAGCTGCTCGGTTGCCAACCAGTCGGCTCCCATTGCCCTCTGCGCCCCGCCGGGTGCCGCGCGGGTGGGTGGCTCCAGCAGTGCAGGAGCCGGCTCGTTGGCCCCGCCGTTACATCCGTTTGGCCCTGGCACGCAGCACGGTGCCAGCGGGAGGGTGGAGGAGAATCCGCCCCGTGGGCAGGGCCCTGCTTCCCCAGGACCAGACAACAATGACCAGAAACGTCCGAAGAAAAGGTTATTGTCTCCCGTAGAAAGTGGGGCTCCTAAGTGTGAAGTGGGAATTATTTCGTGACCGGGTCTCAGTCCAGCCGGCCCCTGAGGAAACGTTCAACACGTTTAGTCTCATAAATTCAAAATACAGCCCGTTCCCAGAGCCTCAAAGGGCCGCTGATGATCTTATTGTGCAGCGTGCTATTGTTTCTCCACTGGGCAGGGGCTGTGATTGCAGCCCGATACAGAACCAGCTCCCAAATACGGTTTGTAACCCACGGCCAAGCCAAATTCTTGTCTGTTTGCCCATCGCAAGGACCCAGGGGCTGTTTGGTCCCGGGACACTCACCGGATCTGTTGGGATCAGTCATCTGTTGCAAGCGGGGGACGCGTCCTTTAAGTGGCACCTGGGTTTCTTACTGTAGGAACAAATAAAGCCGTGGTTACGCGCTGCTGCACTCCTCCAGCAGGAGCGACTGCATTCAGCTTCGGGACTAGCTCCACTGAGGTCAGCAGAGCCCAACCGTAGGTGAGGCCGGCATTTTCAGAGGGGCCTTAGGAAATTTGGCACCTGGTTCCTGCTGAATTTCAGCAGCTTTTGGACAACAAATTCCCTGGGGCGCTTTGAGGAATCCCAGCCTGGCGCTATCCGTGTGACTCCTCCCTCGGCAGTGCGGGACCCCATCTCTAGAGCATCTCTACTCCCCCAGCCACGTGTCATCTCGTGCAGAGCATAAACTTCACGGACAAACCCCGCTGCTCAGTGCAAGCTCTGGGGCTGCAAATGCTTTGGGTGAAATAGAGACCAGGGTGGGTATGGGCTGCATCCAAAACCCCAGGAGGGGTTGGGATCGGAGCTAGGCTCCCCGTGCTCCCGTCACTGTGCTAGCCCCCCATCACCATACAGCCCATATAATGAGGGAGATACACTGGACTGACAAACTTTTGGGCCCTATTCGATTGACTTCTGCATCCTTCAGGCCTGAAGCCAACTGATGCTCGGCTCTCGCTTTACCAGACTCATCCTTTAGCTGTGCGAGTGCAGTATAAAAATTTGGCTGAAATTCCTAGGTGGAAACTAGGGTAGATTCATTCAGACCTAAAGGCATGGTGGGCACTCAGCTTTCGGCTTCACGCCTAATAACAATATGACAGTAACAAATGCACCCCAGTTTACAGTTTAAGTTCCCCCTAGTATCTATCTGATTGCTTAATTCTTCCTTAAGGGCACTGCAAGCTATTTCTAGCATGGCAATCATGTGGACTGCCACAACGCTTGCTTTTCAGCTTCTTTTGCTGGGTCAAATCCTTATTTCGGTACAAGCCTTCTCCTTGGAGTCAACTGCTTTAGGATCCATCAGCAAATGCTCGTTTAATCCTGCATCGGGGTGAAACTCTTCAAGACCCAGGACAAGACATATTTATGCCATCTGGGCCAGAGGGTGAAAATGGGTACGACACCCCCCCATATTTCAGCTGGGTTATGCAGTTACCACCACCTGTCCTTGCTGCCACGACAGGGTTTCTGGAAAGACTTTTCTGAGCTCTGGACTGTAAGTCTGAGCTTGATACCAACCCTGAACCGATATTCTTTACGGCTTGTCCCCACGCACACCTTCCAACCTGGAAGATGGACTTCTCCTATTAACGCCTGCCTCCCGGCCAAGCAGAAAATACTTCTGCATAATCCCTTCTTATTTTTGCTTAATCTACCTGCCAATGCGTCAGCCTTGTAATGGGGGTGCTACTTCTCCCACAAGCTAAAATGCAGCTGACTAGATGCTCCCTGTGCTTTATGCCATCGGGACTACAATGAAAAGCTAGGGTTCAATTTTAAAGACGCGAGTCTCCAGCCCCAGCCCCAGTGCACATGCCCTGTGTCTTGCACTGCAGGATCTCACAGCCGGCTCCACACACAGCCTATGCCCCCAGCTCCCGGGGGCAGGAAACAACCCCCAGATCCCACCGAGTGAGGCCTATAGGTGTGATCACGCGGCCCCCTTGCCCAACCAGTTCCCCCGTGACGTGGGAGGGAGTATGGGGTATGCAGCAAAGGCTGCCGTGGGGCCCTGATGGAGGGTTTGGCTCTTGCTCTGCAGAAGGGGGAGGCTCTGGATGAAAACCCGTGGCTTAGTTTGTGAACAATGAGAGGAGACACAGTGGGAGAGTCCACACCCAGGCCCCGATCCTGCCAACTCAGGAAGGTGCTGAAGCCCCGGTGCAGGGAAAGACGTGCACTTGAGCACGTTCTTACACACATCCCTGGACTGAGGCCGAGATGCTGCAATAAGAAGCAAAGGGGAGGGAGACAAATAGGAGGAGACACATCCTAAAGGCAGAACCCATCACCCGTTTGTAGGATTTTCCCCATCTAGCAAGGCTGACCCATTAGTAGCTGCGTCCTGCGCTCTCCCTTGGATCCCAGCAGGCATTTTGCATGCGGCTCCGACAGCAAATGCTCTAAGGTACCAGCGATGCTGGGAGATGCTCTTAAAAAGCAATCAGGCCTGGTGTTTTGTTTAAGGGAAGCTCTGCCAGCCGGCACGCTGGAAAGACTTTTAAAAAGGGCCTTTTCAACTTTAAAATGAAGGACATTTCCAAGCAAGCCCTACGCCACAGAGCTTTCCAAGAAGAAAGACCTCCCACCACCCTATTATGCTCCATCCCATCCCCAGCGGTATCTGATTACTGTTGTCCAAATCCTGGTTTCGCTGCTCTCGCAAAACCGCTCGGATAACCGGGGGTGCCCGAGTGCACGTGCGATGAACACACGGCGCAGCCATCAGAATTGGTCTCCTGGCTCAGTACTGGTCCCCGGGGTAAAACAAATGCATGAACAATGCGAATGCCCACCGCAATTTAGCCAGGTTTCTGTTACATTTGTGATTGCATTTAAAGGACACTGCAATGGTTACAGTGTCAAAATCACAGCTAATAAAAAGCATAGCTCTGATTTTTCCTCTCACCCTTGAGTGACTCCGGAGTAAGTCCATTGATTTCAACAGTGCAAAATTAGAGTTAGTCAGCAAAAAAATTAACTCCAGCTTACATTACTCCTCAGAGGAAACACGCACTGCCCTCAGCTCACAGTAGGGATCAATGAGAGTTGAGTGCATGGATCAAACCGGTCCCTAAATCAGTCCTCTACCGACCGACAACTACTTCCAAAAGAGACCACTTGAAATACTATTAATGGGGAGAGATCTGCCCTCTACTAGCTGATGGCTACTTCCAGGACAGACCACTTTAAAACACATCATTTCATCCTTATGACCCTCCAATGCCAAAAGGCAGTTCCTAGTTTAGATTTACTTGCACAGAAGCAAGTGTTAAATGGACCAAAGTGGAGATTTGTCTCTGCAGTTGCCCTCCGAGAAGCAGACAAGCTAGGAATAAAAGATTTTATCCTATGGCCAACAGGCATGTAGGAGGAGACGGGGGCAGAGAGATCTCAGTGCAATGGTGCATTATCCTACTTGTTTCCTCTGCCTTCAGCTTCTGAGTCCCTGCTCCTTTTCTGTGCCGCTTGTCTAACTCCTGCTGCAGCCCCGCCAACAGCTGCCCCCCCTTACCTGAGATTTCCCCTCATTTGGCTTAGACGATTTGCTGCAGTTTGCAAATCTGCTGCCCCCGAGCAAGACTTTCAGTGGAGAAATACATTGAAAGCAGCAGGGATATTGGTTTTACCACACTGGTCTAAAAGCATAGGCAGACAAACCTCTTATTAGACCAACTAAATAGTAGCAGAAAAAGGAGCAAGCTTGGAAAGGAGCAAGCTTCTGACATCTAATTTCTCGTCATTATCAGTTGGGAAACCGAGCCGAGTTGAGTGTCAAGGTGCTAAATCGGACCCCGGGGTAAGCTTGCATCATTGGCACAATCCGCCTTGTCTTACCCCGCTTTCTCTCGCATGGACGGTAGATCTGGGTTTAGTGATGGGGCTCTGAGTCCAGCGGCAGCTTGTGATTCTCTGATCCGTACCACTTCCCTTGGGCTGACAAAGACAATGTCAGGAGCTTGCCCATCAGCAGTCGGATTACTCTTATCACCTGCTCTTCCTCATTGTTTGTCCTCTGCTTAGAGAAATAGTGCGACTAGCACCGCCGCACCCCACTGAGAAATATGTGTACTTGTGTTTCACTCGGGGAAAAAACACCAGAGCAGAGAGTACTGACTAATACCTGTGCTATATTTCCATAGCTTCTGTTTCCAAAGCCACCCACGAAGCACCCTGCAGACAAAGGACAATTGCCTGTCCTCAGAGCACAGAAGTGGCCCCATCCCACACTGCACTGTCAGTACCTAGCTATGGGTGCAGTGAAATGCAGCCGCCTCTGGGGTGGAACGAGACCGCTCTATAGCAGCATTCAGCATCTCTGCAGGGGCGAATCGTGCCCTGAAGCGTCCCGACACCTCTGAGAGGCCTCCCGACTTACTCCTGCATTGTTGAGCGCGGGGTGCACCAACACACTGCGCTTCTTTGGAAATAAACCCCCAATTTGCTGTCACAGCCTGTTGGTCCTAGCAGTAATGTGTTAGTTTACTGTATCAAGGATCTTAGTTTCTTCTCTTGTCTTCGCTTAGGCGCGGCCCCTTTGAATCCCTGGGATTCGGCATCGCAAAGGACTGAATAAAGGCATCACAAGCTGGCTTGGCACGAATGGCTCTAACCCAACTGGGCACTGGTTAACATCTCCTGAAACCCAACCCCTGGCTCCCTCCAGCCCACGGCCATTATTCCCGCGATGGTTATGGCTCATACAGTACCTGCAGCACCTTGCTCTCTTCCATGCACCCCTTCACAGCAGCCAGGGAAAATGCACCGCTTTCTCCGGCTCCAAACAACTCTCCACAACCTCGGCCACCGCCTCCTCCGGTGCTGCTTCATGGCCCAGGCCTCTTGTCCCCAGTAGGCAGCCGCGGCTCTGCGGTGGTGCCTCCCCGGCACGGCTGGTCACTGGCTCTGCACGCAGGCAGGAGGTCCCGTTAGAGGTGGAAGGGTGGCTTTTTATGCCTTTTTTCCTGTATAAATCAGGATTGGGATGGACAATCCCAGACAGGACTTCCTGTGTGTGTTGCTCACTGATAACGAGCTCTGTTAGCAGAACAAACACTGCAACCGGCTTGCAGCGGCCCCGAGAGGGGGAGAGGGGCTGCGAATGAGACAGCACCGGTAGCCCCCCCAGGGCTGCCCACCCACTGCGGCATGGCATGAAATGGTGTCCTCATGGAAACCTGTGCCCACGTACCCACGTGTGCCCCGGCTGTCAGGCCTAGCAGCCCTCCTGGACTGCCTCCAGCATCCCTAAAGCCATACCAGTCCCCAGGTCGCGTGGCATTTGAGGGATGCGGACGGACAGACCAGAGAGGGGACTGGGGCTGCCATAGCTGCCCACCATCGCGGCCTCCTCAGGGGTCACAAGGCGGAGGGACAAGGGGAAGCTTTCCAGGGTCAGTCACATGCTGTAGTTTTTAGCAATAAGCCTGTTTACCTTGGCCTCCCTTCCAGCTCTATATTAAGCACACGTTAGCAGACCCAACGCCCTGTCCGCACAGCAAAAAACAAGGGCGCTTGCAATGTGGTGTCAGAGGCAGTGAGCAGAAAACTGGGCAGCCCCTTGCACGCGGAGCGGGCCCAGCCCTCCCTTGGCTCCCAACCTCAACACGCAGCCCTGGTGCTGTCTGCCCAGGTTTAGGACAAACGTGGCTGTTTCTGGAGGCATCACAAACTAGGAATGCAGCATGCTTTTCTCTTGGACGGCGTGGCACCTGGGTTTTAATTTGCTGAAGATATTTAAAGCACACGCTTTCCAGTGGTCTTGGGCTTAAGAAAACCCACCGCAGCTCCAAGGCCAGGTGAGCCGGTAGAGAACGGGCCTTTCGTGTCAGCTCCGCCTGCTCCAGCTCATCACACGGCAGCAACGACCAAAACCCCTTCCCCTCTGGTAGCCTAACCAAAATGAGTCGTGGTCAAGTTCCCATCCGTGCATAATCCCCACCTGGTAGCTTCATTATGATTGCTAGTAGTGATGGGCTCTAGGATCCCCATCCTCAGTGGTGAAGGTACATCCCCATCCTCAAATGGTGAAGCTTGGGGCTCTGATACTGCCAACCTTGTGTCTGGATTGGCATTGCTATCTACAACTCCACTTCTTGATCATCAGTGGGTCTTTTTTATCCTCTCAGCATCCCCTGGGAGATAAGGAGGCCCTCTCCTCATTTTGGAGCTGGGGAAGTGAGCGGCTAGTTCTACATCGCACCAAATAGGACTCCAGTTCTCATCATCTGGGTGCCAGGCCTGTGCCCTGTCCACCAGACAGTCCTTCCCACCCTAGTTTTGGAGGACGGCAACCTGGCACGTTGCATCGGCACTAAATCCACTGAGCAGTAAAAGAAGAAAATGTGGGAACCTTTAGTATTTGAGCACGTGGGACAAGCTGAATGGAGATGGCGTTTCCCCTGCCCTGCCACCGCTGACGTCTTCACCAATATTTCAAGGTAAAACTCTGTGGAGGTGTCCACAGGAGGAAACGAATTCACAATGCCAATCTGAAGTTCAAGTGAGAAAAGGCACGCTCAGCCTTGTCACACCTGTGAAGCTGTTGCTCCTTTTCCCAGCCCCTCGGAAAGCAAATACTCTGAAAACACAACCCCTGTCTCCATGGATGCCAAGGTGCTGTTAAGAGCAAGGCCTTACTGATCCCTGCACCCCGAGTCAGTAAAACGCTAAGCATTTGCTTAAAAAGATCCCTGCTCGACCCATCCCTTCATCAGGTGAGCAGGTCCACAAAAGCAGGAGCAATTTAGAAGCTGAAAGTGTAGGGTTTTACGGTCCCGATATAGCAAAATGCTTTAGCATAATTACATCCCTGTTTAGCAAAGCAGTCCAGCACGATCTCAACCTCAACTTCTTTGGGACGTGAATGTGACCCTGACTCAGGGCAGTGCTCCATTGCAACTCTCTGTATTTATGAATTTGTTTTCCTGGATGGGAGTCTTTCCATTGCTGAAGTCCCCCCCCCCCCGCAATATCATTGTAACTGGATTTCTTTTTGGAAATAGTTGGTTTCAAGTTGTGCATAGGTTACCATCATCTCCATTATTGCAGGACTCATGTATTTGTTGCCTCTCACTGTGATATCCCATTAAGGTTTCATGGCTGTACAGTGCATTGCACATAGTGACTTCCACTGCTTCCCGTGGCTTTCCAGTCCCTCACCAGTATGACTCCACAGCGTGTGCGGGTCCCACAGTGCCTGCTTTGCCCTCTGCTCTGATCAGCCCCCTCCACGGCAGCCCCTGTGAGAGCTAGGGTGTGTACGTGGGGGAGCGCACCGCACCGAATAGACCAGGTAATGCGGTCCCTTGGGGTGTGCACGCATACAGTGCTGTGGGTGCCCACTGCCTGGGGGACGCTGCTGGGCTCATGCTTTAAACTCAGAAAGGGGCTGCATGGCACAAAAGGACTGAGCCACCCCCTTGGCCCGGAGGCTTCGGGCCTGGGGGAAGTTTTGACATCTTTCCCTATAGCATGCAGAGTCATGGGCTCAGTCCTGAGGGGCGCTGGGTGCCCACAGCAGCATTGACTTAGCTCATCTCAAAAAGCCGCAACCCCCAGGACTCTGGAAAGGTCTAATCCAGATACAAACTGATCATCTCCACTGACCGCCCCCAACCCTAATCCCTCCTCTCCCATGTGCTTTGCCTATTTGTAGGAATAAATCTCACTCGGTTGCTGAGAACCGGCGAGCCACCCACGCAACCGCACCAGATCTCATTGAGGCCGATGGAGACTTCTTCACTGGACTTCCTCCCTTGAGCCTGCCAGAGTGAAAACTGCCATGCGTGGAAAACATTTCCTGTTTACCGCCATGTAGCTTTGCTATTAGCCAGCATGGCCAAGCATGGTCACAAGGGACCATGGCACTGGGATATAATGGGAAATAATGACGCTCCATCTCGGAGACATTCGGTATCCTCTTGCGAAGGCCAGGCTTTCAGGAAACCGCAGCATGCCCAGTCCTGCTGTCGGGTGTGTGTCTGTCTGTGGGTGCGCTCGCTGCATGCTTGAGGGCTTGTGTGAAGCCCCGTGCCATGTGGTTGGCAACCAGGGGCTGATTTTCAAAGGTATTCCTCCACCTAATGATTCAAAAGAGCCTGAGTGCGGTGCTTCAGTTGCACTGATTTCAACGTGAGCTCGCCGCCCAGCTCACCTGGAGACTTTTAAAATGCTGAAAACCTTTATTGTGCATGCGCTGGTGCATGTATTGCATTAAATCTAGCAGTCCCTCTGCCAGTGCATGTTGGGGCGGGGTGGTACTGGTCGCAAGTGGATACTCCTCGGTTTGGAGGGGAGACATGCTGCATACGCAAGAAGGGGTAGCACGGGGGTCAGTAACTGAGATGACGCCCTGCTCTCCGGTCAGGGTGCTCTGGGGAAATGATGAATGTAGAAGAAAGGGAAGGGAAATGAATCAAACGAGCTGTTTCCCAGCACCTGAGAAAGACAGACTGCAAATGCTGTGGCCAGACTGCACTATTCAGCTGCCCTGAGCAGAGGGGCAGAGGTTGGAGAGGGTCTGTGCAGCCCTCTGCTTCCCTTAGGGGTGGTCAGCCTGGTTGTTCGTGCACCCAACACAGGATGGTGATGAGGGAAGGCCAGTCCCAGACCTCCACCTTCTCCTCACCCTCTTGGAGCAATGGGCCCCCAAAAACACCTGGCAGAGCAATGCTAACACTGTCCCGTGCACCCCTGAGCCTCAGAGCGACACTCTCCAAAATCCAACATAGCAGATCGGCTGTATCAGCCCAGTGGTCAGATATTAGTGCTGGGCTCTAGAGAAAACCCTGCCAGAGTGCAGGGCTATGGGACAAAGGGCAAGGTAGATTTGTACCTTATAGACTAACCAAAGTAGGAGTATGTGTGCGTGTGTGTGTATAGCTATACATCTCAGTGTATGGCATAGCTCACAAAACCTTGTGCGTGTGTGTGTATAGATGTAGATATAGAAATAGAAATACATATATACACACAAACTCCTCTTTGGTTAGTCTGTAAGGTACAAATCTACCATGCCTTTTGTCCACCTGTTCCCATAACCCTGAACTGTGTTGTTTTAAATTGGTGGTGAGCGATCTGTCAGAGTTTGGGAACCGCTGCTCTAGACCCCATCACTAATATCTATGATAGATAGATAGATAGATAGATAGATAGATAGATAGATAGATGTAGTACAAGCTTTCATGAGCTGAAGCTCATTTCATCATATGCTGTAAAAGGACATGCAGACAGACAGACAAATGGAGGGGACGTATCAGGATACAAAAGCCCTCCTTTCAAAGTGGGTGACTTTTCTCCTCTGGTTGTGCTCAGTGCCACTCCGTGCTTATGAACATTTTCAGCTGATGGCTCTTGGTAACACTAATAGCTAAATCCTATTATCGACCCACTGCAGGAGATGTTTGCTCTTAAGTGTGTATTGACGCTTCCTTCCCCAACAACTGCCAGTCTCATCTGTTCCAGAGAAGCTAAATTCTGCCTGTTCAACTCTTACTGTCTTTAGTAGCCTTTGGCCGAGAATCAGCTGGTCACCAGCCCAACTCTGCTGAGGCAGTCCATTTGCTCTTGATTTAATCAGCAAGCTGAAAGCATTTCAGGGAGAACATTATTCCACACCAAAGTGCCGCATCTTAATTACTGACCATCATGTAATAAAAATCCCATGTAGAGAGCAACCAAAAGCCGATGGCCGTAGCATCATTCCCCTCCATGCAGCTTCACTCTACAGGGTTTCCCTCCTGCCACACACTGCATACAGCCTGGCCTTGCTGTGCTTCTAGGAAATAGCCTGCGGCCTGCATTTGCATGGGGCACTGGTCTTGGATAGCGGAAATCAGCCGCTGCTTTGCACTCGGAAGAGCTATGACAATTTGTCCCAGCAAAAGGTCTGGCTCACGGTTCATTAGCATTTAGGGTTTAGAGGAAGC